GACATTTCAGTCAATAATGGACCATAATATTGCCTACTTATATCATAGCTATATTATATTATGTAAGTATATTCTATGATCACATAACCACAAAATCACCTAATAATTTATTTCTCAGTGTAACCTTGTCAGTAACACATGACTATATTTGTTGTATTCCTTCTTGATATTAGCTGATTGTACTCTTTTGATCAAAGAAGGCTAGTATCATTTCTAAGATTACAAAGCAGGAAAAAAATTTCCTCTGTGTGTGTATGTGTGTACTGGTACTGCCACAACTCCAGTATGACATTTTACTGATTAATTGGAAATACAGTCTCCCAGACTTTTCTGCTCAGACTGATTTTGAACCTTGATCCTCCAGATCTCAGCCTCCTTAGTAGCTAGGATTATACCCATGCACTACCAGCACTTAGTTCTCCTCTACTTTTAAGAATGCAAAAGAAAAATCAGCTACAATACAAAAGACAAGATGGCTCCAAGATGGAGATTGACTTCAGTTCTACCTCATTTTTATCATCCTCTTCAAACCTAGGAGCCAGCTCAACATACTCTCACATAGGGATAACAGAGCAAAAAGACAAAAGACAAAAATACAAAAGAAAATCAGCTACCTTCTTCTTAAAACCATACTTGTCAGAGTTACCTGCTTTGGTCCCCATTGAGCAAATTAGTAAGCATTTTAAATACTTATGCAAAACATACTGTAATTACTGAGAATAGAAATGTACATAAAATCTAACTATATAGAAGCCCATACACAGCTACTGTAATAACAATATGGTGTAACAAACTAGTTCAAAAATACACCAGTTAAAGATAAATCATTTGCTTTTACTTACACATTCTATATTAGTTAGAGGTTGATTGGTCTGTGTAGTGTTTGATTAGGCTTGGCTCCAAGATGGAGATTGACTTTAGTTCTACCTCATTTTTTTTTTTGGGGGGGGGGGGCCCTGTTGTGGGGCCTGAACTCTGGGCCTGGGTGCTGTCCCTCAGCTCTTCAGCTCAAGGCTAGCACTCTACCACTTGCGCCACAGCACCACTTCCGGCTTTTTTCTTTTTGCTTATGTGGTGCTGAGGAATCGAACTCAGGGCCTCAGGCATGCAAGGCAAGCGCTCTACCACTGAGCCACCTTCCCAGCCCCAGTTCTACCTCATTTTTATCATCATCTTCAAACCTAGGAGCCAGCTCAGCATACTCTCTCATAGGGATGACAGAGCAAAAAGACAAGCCTACTTACATCAGCACATTCTAAACCCTTCTTTGGTGTAGTAGCTGTGAATATTCCACTGGTCAAAGCAAGTTAAAGAGCTAATCCCTAAAGGGAAAGAAAAGGAAGTATATTCCAACTCTGATCACAGTAACTACAGAATGGGAAGCAGGCCTAGTGAGGGGAGCTGCAAAAACATTACAAAGATCATGCCCATAGGAAAAGGTGCCTGTATCTCACTAAGCATGCCACCGCCACAGATTACTGAGAAACAGATGCAGAGATCTTTACTAGCTTTCCACCATCATTATAGTATCTGAATTACCAAGTAAAATGTCTGAGCCACCAGAGTTCATTTCACTCTGCCTTTGTAAAGAACAACTGTGCTGCGACCATTGTATGTAGTTATGGTACTGAGGTTTGAACTTAGGGCTTCACCCCTTGCTAGGCTGGCACTCTACTACTTGAGCCATGCCTTCAGCCCTGCTACTTGCTGATTACTTTGAAGACAATCTTTTCTGTCCAGGATGGCCCTTTAAATCAAGATCTTTCATATCACAGCCTCCTGAGTAGCTAGGATTATAGTACTGAGCCACTGACACCTAACCTATTATTGTATCTTAAGTTATAAGGACATGGCTTTCAAATCTGTATTGTAACATTAAAATGGTTTAATTGAATAGTTCTGAGGAGATGCTATAAAAATAGATTCCCCAGTATTCTGTGGTATGTAAATTGAGGGTGAGCTCCTTACTAAAATTTATGTGGTTTGTTGGCTTTGGAGAGGTTCAGGAAGAGCAAAGACAGTATTACTTGTCCCCAAATATATTTACCTTATCCCAAGTGTCATGATATATACATGTTTATATCTGGAAAGTATGGCACTGCAGTCTCTGAACTTTGTGCAGTTTTGTTCCCTTGGTAGCAGAGGAAGGTTTTTTTAAAAGACTTCTGTTTAAAATTAATTCTTAACTGACATCTCACTGAGCTACAAGTAGGGTTTCTTCTTTTAGATTAATAACTATTCCTAAGGCTACATCAGGAATTGTTATCACTATAGTCATCATTACCATCTTTATGTAGCTCAAGTGATAGAGTTGCCAGTGTTGAGTAAAAAACTGAGAGCTCAAGGCCTTGAGTTTAAGCCCCAGTATTCATTCCTTCTCTCTCTCTCTCTCTCTCTTTCTCTCTCTCTCTCTTTCTCTCTCTCTCTCTCTCTCCCTCCCTCTCCCCCTCTCCCTCTCATTTCCTCCCTCCCCCTGCCTTTCAAGTTCTGCAGCTCCTAATTATTTTTTCATACAATAGAAAACCACCTTAGCAAGTGTGAGTTCAAAACAATACTGGCTAGGCTCACACCTGTTTTCCACTCAGGCAGCTAAGATCTGAGGATCAAGGTTTGAAGCCAGCCATAGCAGGAAAGTCCATGAGACTCTTTATCTCTAATTAACCACCAAAAAAAAAAAAACCACAAAACAAAACTGGAAGTGGAACTGTGGTTCAAGTGGTAGAGCACTAGCCTAGAACAAAAATGCTCAGGTCCTGAGTTCACACCATGGGACCAGCATACACATATGAAAAAGTACTGGAAAAAAAATTGGGTATGCATGCAAGGTCTGCTGGGGGCATGGATCACATAATTAATGACCATTTTAAAAGCAGCTGTAAAATGCCTCTGTATTGGGCTCTATGACTTAAGAAATCAGGATATTGTAATAAAAAGGATTTATATAATGGCTGTATGTTTTATAGCAGCTTAGTGAAATTAAGAAGAAAATTTGTACTTAGAATATACAGAAAGAAAAGGAAGAGTATATTGAACTAATATTGGAAAGGCTGGAAATGACACATTAGGATTTTTTGTATGGAAATGGGTATTGTCTAAGACTTTCTCCAGGAAAGAAGTTCATAAATTTCTTTATTCTTCTTTTTTCTGATGGTCTTTTTGCTTTTAAAATTAAAAAAAAGTATATTCTAAAATATGAGTTTTTCACAAATAAATATCCAAGCCCCCTCATTTCATTTCACAATATTAATAACTTTTTAAAACATTATTCCTTTCTTGTTGGTATAAAGAGAAGCATCTAGACTATCAAGAGAAAAAGATGAGTAGGAGGTAGGGAAGTACAGAGAACCATATTACTAGTAGAAAAAAAATGGCAAAGATAAAAGTACATCTCAGGAATTCTTGTGTTCCTGCCACTGGACATGATCAGGCCACTTTGAAAAAGAGAATAGAGTTGAGCCAAAGACAAGTATCAGATGGAAAAATCTCTAAGGTCCACTCTACTAATTCTAAAAGAATGATTCTGTTGAGTGTTATCTACTATATTATTGCATAGTATGTTTGCTCTATCATCTTTCTTTCTTTCAATAGCCTGATGATTAAAAGCCAGGGTAAAGGTATCGTTACGATACAGTACTGATTTTTACTACCAAGTTTGTTATCATATTGAGTGTACAAATGAATGAATAAGTTGTTATTACCCAAGATGAATCACTGTAAACAACTTATTTGTAGGTTGGGAATGTAACTTTACTTACTGTCATCATGCTTTTTTCCTCATGCTGAGAGAATTATATGTTGTTTCTCCTCTTTTGTTTTGATAAGCTTTTATGAAAGAGCTCTTTTATAATTTATTTTTTTTGTCTATGTAAACATGAAGTTCTTGTCTTTAATAGGCTCTCTCTTATAATTTATAATCAGCTATTAGGTAAGATTGTATATGTGGCGGCATAAAGAAATTATAAAGTTTTCAAGGCAAAATAACATGAGATTATCTGTAAATCTCAGTGTATAATAAAATTTCTCAGATACGGAAATACTTTTTGTGAATTGGTGGCAAAATATTGGAGGCACAGCATTCATAATTTCTGACCTGTTTAAGCCAGCCATTGGTGATAAGTTGGCAACTATATGTTCATACAATAAAACTGATTTTTTAGTAGTTCTTATAATTTGAAACATTCATATAGAAAAAAATCTCATTTCACTGTTAACTTTCAGTAGAAACTCACTTCCTGTTTCTTTTGGTAACATTAAAAAAAAAACTTTTCCTTTGATTGAAGTTTTTATGATTTAGGCATTGAGGAACAAAATGGCGTTCTAAACTACTGGATTGTTTTCCATTTCAAATCTCTTATATTTTTTGAAAGGATCCATCACATCCATCTCAGGGGACCTCGCAGAGGCAGGCAGGCACAGGAGAAACAGTATTACAAGTTTATTAGAGGAGCCATATTTCCCCCGGAGAGAGAGTTCATGGTGGCCTCCACTATCTAGGTAGCAGCAGGGTCTGGGGGATAGGAAGTGAGGTAAATGGGAGTTCAGGTGGGTGTGGGCCATGAGAGGGAGGGGCCAGCTGTATGACAGGAACTCCAGGGCAGGAAGAAGCTCAGGTCTGGGTGTAGCTCAGGACCTAAGGTGGGCATAATGCTTACACTTTTTACCATTATCTCTCATTTTATGATAGATTTTTATATTTGTTTAGTTTGCTTGTTTATGTTTGCCTGGTTGAATAGGAATTTCCTATTCAACAAATGACTATTCCTCTGTTTAAGGTTATAGAACCTCCTAGCAAGTATCTGTGATAAAGTAACAAGTGAACTATATAAGTTTTTCTGAACAGTGCTTCCTTGATTTTCTAAAGATACAAAATAATTTATATATTTTACACATATATTTTGTACTGGAGTAAGCCTTGATTCTAAAGTTTGAGAGATAGAGAATATGTCAAATAAGTTTTCTAAATTTACATTTTCTAACTATAAATTTTTCTGTCTTGTCAGCCACCAGCTCTGCCCACCTAGAGGATCTTGCTTACTTGGATGAACAGAGACACACACCTCTAAGGACTTCTCTTCGAATGCCAAGACAGAGTATGGGTGGTGTACGCACACAGCAGGATTTAAGAGGTTAGATTGAGAGAAGGGCTGTAGGTTGCCTGTAAACTAAAGGAGATGGGCAAATGCCAAAAGCTTCCCCTTTTTCTGTTTCTAGACTTATTCAGACCTCCCTTTCAGAAGTGAGATGATTTTAGAGTGTAACTAGTTAACTCCACAAATAGATTGTACTCATTATAGAAAGATTGTAATTACCACTAATTGGAAATAATTCCTTGAAATTCTTAAAGAAAACAAATGTAAAGTGCTTGGGGTAATGGACAAAATTATCTTTTTTTAAGATTCTAGATTTCAGAAGTGCTTTTGACCAACTTCTGCTAGCTATATCACAGGTGACTTTGTGCAGATATTAAGTAGCAACTTCATTCATTTTTATTCTAATAGCCATTTCTAATAACTTGAAGAATTTTCATTATCTTGGAATTTCAGACAGTATCTTTTTTAAATTTTATACAAGGTCTTACTATGTATCCCAAACTGACCTTGAAGTTATAATCCTACTGTCTTCAGCCTTATTAGTGCTGGAATCAGTTATACTCAGCTTAAAATTCTAGAGGTATTTTTGTTTTGTGTGGTGTTGGGAATTGAAGTCCTGTACACTATTAAAAATATTATTGAGGACCCTAAAAAATGTGTCTTAAATTGATACTTATATTAGAAATTAAAACATATATCAAATGGTAGGTTTTTAATTGTTAAATCTAAGAATTGATTTGCTAATTAATAGAGATTGTTAGAACATCCATATTCTGGCCAGGCACCAGTGGCTCACAACTGTAATCCTAGCTACTCAGGAGGCTGAGATCTAAAGATCACTGTTCAAAGGCAGCCTTGGCAAGAAAGTCCATGAGACTCTTATCTCCAATTAACCACCAGAAAAATGGAAGTGGCGCTATGGCTCAAGTGTTAGAGTGCTCGCCTTGAGGTGAAGAGCTCAAGGACATTGCCCAGGCCCCGAGTTCAAGCCCACGACCAACCAAAAGAAAGAACAGAAAAAGAACATCCATATATACTCATTGTTAGAACAACATTACATTTTAACATCTTGTACGATATAGAAAATTCCATAGTGAGAAAATGACAGTGGGAAAAGGAAATAACCTCTTAATACTATAAAAATAATTTAGCAGCCGGGCACTGGTGGCTCACGCCTGTAATCCTAGCTACTCAAGAGACTGAGATCAGAGGATCACAGTTCAAGGCCAGCTTAGGCAGGAAAGTCCGTGAGACTCTTATTTCCAATTAACCACTAAAAAACTGGAAGTGGTGCTGTAGCTCAAGTGGTAGACCTCTCTCCTTGAACTGAAGAACTGAGGGACAGCACCCAGGCCCAGAGTTCAGGCCTCATGACTGACAAAAAAAAAAAAAAAAAGACTCCCAGACAATACTTTTAAAGCCACTAGTTTAGAAGGTGCCATTGTCATTAAAATAACTGTTATGCCTCAAGGATTATCATTTACAGAAATTCAAAAAAGTATATTTTAAGATTGTTAAAAGCTATTTGTGAGCATAGTTTCAGAGTATAAAGATAGTACATTTAACAATTATTTTCATAGACTTGAACTGTTTGTCTTTATAGTAGGAGTCTTTGACTACTGAAACAGAAATTGAGCTAGTATCTGAGGTAGAATTTGGATCTTCAAGTGGGATTTAAACTAATTAACATTTGCTTCATTAGTAAAAGTCCTTTAAAAAAAAAAAGCTTCTCCAAAACAGCTGTCTTGAATAACTGTACTGTCAAAATTGATGTTTCCAGAAACTACACCAACAATGCAAAAGAGGTCACATAAGTGTACTGTCCAGAATCTCTTTGAAAAAAGTTAGCAGATTACTAGCTGTCAGCTATTCCAGAGCTTGAACTTTAATGATAAAGTAGTTACAGAAAGGTTGCATACTATGGAAAAGTATATGTAGCTCTCGAACTATATCCTAAGTTCCTTTTCTATCCCAAAGTATAGCAATAATATCTTTGATGGATACTAAGTTGAATTAATTTAACTTTATTAAACTCAAGTTCTTAGAATTATTTGAAAGTTCTACTTTTAATTTTATCACATCATGGTAATGTTGAGTTATGCCAGAAATTATGTTCCTGAAACTTTTTACTCCTTGTGACCATCTTAGCAATGTATCTCATTTTATAGAAAAGGCAAACTATGTTTTCTGTCTTTGAAAGGAACAAAGAAGTAGTTGGTTTGTATAAGTAAATGCAGTATGTCTTACAGCAGCACATATGAAGAAAACCAGTAGGAGTTAAAATACACATAGCAAATGCTAGCATGATGACTTTAAGTAGTGGCTACTTATGGTAAATTAACAACGAAGTGTTAATGATAAGAACCTAACCTGCCTGTTGCTAAATTATAATCACACTGTTCTGCTAGAAGAGATTACACATTGCTAATTAAAACTTCATTCTCCATTATATGATGGTTACAAATCTCATTGCATAATGACATTCAGAGGCTTTGTGTTTAATTAATTGTTGACTTATTAGAAATAGGATTGAGGGTGTATATAAAAGATAGTCTGATTCATTGGCAGAATTTATGTGAAATTTCCCTGCTACAGTTAACTTGGCTTTGTCAAAGCAATGAGTTTAATTTTTAATCAGCTAAAATCAATGGTTCCCACCATTGTAAATCCCTTGCTTTTCTGAAACAAATCTATTATGAAGCTGACTAAGATGCATGTCATGAAGCTAAATGTTGTTGCATTAGCCACTGAGTCACACATCCCAGAGGTTGCTTAGTCATCTTCATTATTGCCTGGCTGGCTCTCACATCTACAAGGGAATATTTCTAACAGTATTTATCTCATTATCCATATTTCATTTTTAGAAGTAAAATTAAATTTCCTTCTTCGTATGTGTTTAAAATGCAGAGCTGAAACTTCCTATATAAATATTAGATGGGTAGATTGTAAGATTTTAGTTGTGTGACGTATTCCCTTCACCCACAACCAGCTTCTTCTGAAAAGTGCATGAAAAAATTGATCATGTATTACCTACACTAAATGTCTTTGAGGGTCTGCTGAAAACTATTCTATACTTTCTTTTGAGTAGTCTGATTGTGATTGTTTTAAACAGATCACTATTTGTTAAGGAGCTCTGCATAAAAACAGGTTGGCTTTTCTATAACCAATCTTACTTTACAGTTGGAAAACACAAAACAGTAGGAAAGTTTTTCTATAACCAATCTTACTTTACAGTTTGAAAACACAAAACAGTAGGTAATACACACGAATTTCTCCCATAAGGAAGTAGAGGTGTGGCTCAAGTGATAGAGCACAAGCCTTTAGTGCAAAAGCTAAGGAAGAGTACAAGGCCCTGAGTTCAAGCCCTACTACTAGTGTGTGTGCACGTTATGTGAATGCGTGCGTGCACGCACACACACACACACACACACACACACACACACACAAATTCCCCATAAAACTTACAAGAGTAATAAACTTTGAGAAAGAGAAGAATCTATAAACTACATAATCTATTGACCTCTTGCATTAAACAATACACTATTTAAGGAAAGTCTGGAATACAACATCAGAGAAATTCTAAAAGATCTAACTTTATAAAAATTACCGAAAATATTTTTAAGTGCAGTATTTAGTATAATATACTTACAGTATTTAGTATAATATACTTATGGAGAGCAGGACTATTTGATCAGAGACAAAAACCATTTTAAGTTTCCATTTAGGGGTGGAACAATGAAAATGACTTTCTAAGACTGCTGTCCTGATTTTCTCTCTTTTAAGAGTATTTGTAATTTTTAATTGACTCAATCAATTATTCATTTGTATTCATTGTATTCATTTATGAGATATAGTGTGACATTACAATATGTGCATACAATGTATGATGAGTAATTGGCATATATGTCACCTCAGATATTTATTATTGCTTTGTACTGGGAAGAGTCACAATCCCCTACTAGCTTTTTTTTTTTTTTTTGTCCAAGAGCAGTACTCGAACTCAGTACCTGACACTTTTGCTCATCGGCCAGAACTCTACCAACTAAGCTACACCTCCAATACCTCCCTACTAGCTATTTTAAATTATTCAATTAATTATTGTCCCTCATATTTATCCTACTGTGCTATAAAAATGCTAGGAGTTATTCCTACCCATCTGCATACCCTTTCTCCAGCCCCTCTTCCCTACACCCTTTCCACACTCTGGTAACCACTATTACATCCTCTACTTCTATGAGATCAACTCCTTTAAGCTTCTACATAAGAGTGAGATTATGCAGTATGTGTCTGTGTTTGACTTATTTCACTTAATACAATGTTTCATCCATGTTACTGCATACAAATGACAGATTTTCATTTCTATGAATTTCATATGTATGTATATATATACATATGCACATACATACAGATAGATAGATAGATAGATAGATAGATAGATAGATAGATAGATAGATAGATAGATAGATAGAAAACTTTAGTCCATTTGTCTGTTGATGGATACCTAGGTTGATTCTGTATCTTGGCTAGTATGAATAGCCCTATAATAAACATACCAGTGCAGATATTTAACATTAAGATCTCATTTCTTTTAGATTCATATATTGTAGTGGGATTGCTGGATAATATGGAATTTCTATTTCTAGTTTTGTTTTTTGAGATACCTCCATACTATTTTCCATAATGGCTGTACTAGTGCACATTCTCACCAATAAAACATGAGATTTACTCTTTCTCCACATCCTTGCCAGCAATTGTTACTTTTTTATCTTCTTGATAATAGGTTTTAGCTAGTGGTAAGATGATTCTCATTTTGGTTTGGGTTTGCATTTCTCTGATGATAGTGAAGTTGAGCTTTTTTTTTTTTCATATATGGCCATTCCCATGTTTTAATCTAAATGAGATTTAAAGATTCAACTTTCCTGTTAATCTTCTTTTTTTTTTTTATGGTCCGGTGTGGGGCTTGAACTCTGGGCCTGGGTGCTGTCCCTCAGCTCTTCAGCTCAAGACTAGGGCTCTACCACTTGAGCCACAGCGCC